GCGAGTACCGCAGACGATGGAACGATGAGCTGTATGAGTTTTACAACGATGTGGACATAGTGCAGCGAATTAAAATACAGCGGCTCCGCTGGCTTGGTCATGTCGTTCGAATGGACACCGACGCTCCAGCTCTGAAAGTATTCAACTCGGAACCCGCTGGTGGTAGCAGAGGAAGAGGGAGGCCCCCACTGCGATGGAAAGATCAGGTGGAGAAGGACTTGGCTTCACTTGGCGTTTCCAATTGGCGTCAGTTGGCACAGAGGAGAAACGACTGGCGTGCTTTGCTGAACTCGGCCAAAATCGCTTAGGCGGTTACAGCGCCAAAAAAAGAAGAAGAAGAAACACAAAAAAAAAAAAATTTTATCATTTTATAACCATGTTGCTTCTGACGGCATTTGAACCAGGACCCTCCTGATAGATGTGGGATACTATCGATATTACTATCTATAGTATCGATAGTTAAAAACTGTCGCCTGTTTTTGAAAACTATCGATGTCGGTTTTAGCGTAACTTCTCTCTTCTTTACATCTCTTAACATTACGTCAATTTTTTTTCTCCAAGAAAATTAACAATACAGTCGGCAAAAAAAATTTGTTTGTTATTGGAATTTTTAGCAACTATAAGCTTATACTGAGTTATAGTAAAATTCAATAGGCTATAAAACCGCTTACACAAAATTTTTATAGAAATTCCAATTAAAAAACTTGAAATTTTAATGATTTGGTATGTTCTTATTTTTGTACAACTTTTATAAAAAATTAGTAGACACTAAACAAACAAAAAAATTGTCAAAACTGCTAAAAATGTTGTGCTATTATTTTGACCAGTACTTTATTCGTTTTCTTATAATATGGTAAAATGTTAATAATTTCCTTTGTCCGGATTTTGATATGCGCCTCCGCATTTGATCTCAGTTGAACTTTTATAAGTATGAGTTGTCAATTTAAACGAATAGCTTTTGTTTTGTAGTATTAGAAATGTATTATTATAGCTAATTTCTCTTCTTTGCACTTCAAAAGGGACAAACAAAATCCGAATTTAATTTTTCCATATAAAAAATAAATTCAGATTTTGCCTGTCGCTATTCAAGTGGATGCAAGTGTATGTATATAAGTATACATAATTCAGACGCACAAAAAATTTAAATTCAATACCTCTCACGACGATAGTACTATCGATACTATCGATGTTTTCAACTATCGTTTCGAAAACTATCAAGTGGCGGTACTATCGATAGTATCCCAGCTCTACCTCCTGAAAGCTAACAAATAGTGGCAAGCATCTCTGCGCACTGAGCTACAGCCACGCATGTAAATATGTGTTCAAAGGTTCACTTAGCATCAAGGCGATTAGGACATTTACAGGGTGGTGTTCTTTAATTTTTTTTATTGAATTGCAAGACAACACCACCCTGTCACTGACAAACTGTACTTTTCGTCTCTCTAGGCCGGTTCCTTGGGGACTGGTCGAAGGCTGACATTTTCGATGCAAGCAAATGTCCAATTCTGACCAGTCAAATTTTAACCAGTGAAGTACTAGTCCTTAACGGAAAATGGGCCGCCTTATTGCTGCAGGGAAGTGAACCGAAACTAAACAATACGATTCATTTCGTTTATTTTGGAACTTTGCGTGCAGGTGATGTTGCGGCGACATCAGAAGGCATCCGGTCGGTGTCCGCAGTGCCGTGTTTTGGCAAGTCTGTAGCTTCATCCACTGCATCCTATAAGTTCCCGGCGAGCACACAGGTGCTGCATAGTTCAGAACCGGCCGGCCAAATGCCTTTTACGTTGCCAACAACATTTCTTTGTCTTTGCCATAGGTACTGCCGGCTAGCGACTTGACCTTATTGCGGCTTTGTACTTTATACTTTATTTACAATGCGGTTGTTTGCGCCGAGACGGAGAGCAGACTGTCGAATGTAACTCCGAAGGGTTTCGGGTTATTATTATTGCAAAGTCAGAATTAACATTCGTGATGGCAGGTGAGTAAGTCCCGGATGGGTTTTAGTAGTTTTTGTAAAATTGCAGTTAGAGGGTATTGAATATAAGCCATCGATATGTGGTTTTCTTAATTATTAAATTTTAAATTGCAACGCCTAATTACGTGCAATTTACTGATAAATATCATTTTTTTTAATTGAAAAAAATAATAATTTTATGTTCATTCCCTTTATAAATTTTCAAAAGGCAAAATGAAATCAAGGATCGATTCTTTATGCGCCTTTTCCATCCCTAGTGGTTATTTTAAAAACTAACTTTATTTGAAAACAAGTAGGAAAGTCTAAGTTCGGGCGGAGCCGAACAATTAAATACCCGGCGCAAGTATTACATATATGCTACCGCTGCAGGGTAAGCCGGGTTGTAACAATTTTGAGTAAATTAGCGTCCTTAAATTTCGAAATATTGAAGATTCAAGCATTTCTGAAATTTACCGTTATATGAAAAGCGGCCGTACTTTAGTCCGATTTCAATAATTTTCAACGTTTTGCTTCTATGTGGCAAGACAATAACCACACCGAATTTCGTACAAATTGGTAGAACAGTTACCGAGATAGATACATATATGGGACGGATGGTATTGAAAATGGGCAAACTCGGACAATAACGATGCCTACCTCCAATATAACGGTAGCCACGCCCATTTATGGTTACATGTGTATATCTTGGTAATCGCTGCACCAATTTCCTCCAAACTTGGCACAGTTGTTGGCCTTGGTATAACATACGAAATGGAAGAAAATTTTAAAAAGCGGAAAATAACCACGCCCACATCCCATTTAAAGAAATACGAAATCCTCGATAAATCAGTAAATATTAAAGCTAATTTATTCAAAATGATGGCTGCAACAATTCTTTGCCAGGAAATACGTTTATGATAAAATTTTGGAAAATGGACGTGGCACTTATGATCACGTATATGTATCTCGCTAACCGTTCTAGCAATTTGTACCAAACTCGGTATGGTTATTGTGCTTGCCACATAAAAGTAAACCATTGAAAATTGTTGAAATCGGACTAAAATTACGGCCGCTTTTCATATAACGGTAAATTTCAGAAATGCTTGAAATTTCAATATTTTGAAATTTAAGGACGCTAGTTTACTTAAAATTTATACACGCCGGCTTATCATGTAGCGGTAGCTTTCGGAAAGGTGGAAAACATATATATAATACTTGCGCCGGGTATTTAATGTTCGGCTCCGCCCGAACTTAGACTTTCTTACTTGTTTGTATATAATATTGCTGCAACTATATCAGTGCTCAATCTGGTCCTTAAGTCAGTCCTACACATCTTTAAATTACTAAATATACGTTCTACTGAAGCATTAGAAAAGGGCTACATATATTAGTGATGCAGATATAATTTTTTTAATTAGGAAACTTATATGAACCTGAAGAATCTTTTGATTCAAAAACTTTTTCTATAGTTTTCTGGATCTTATGAATATCCTTATGATCGAACAATGCGTGTTCTCTCCATTCGTTACCGAGATTTTGCAAATTCAAATTAAGTTGAAAATATAACGATGGAATGAAAAAAATTATCGATAACATTTTGAATATTTAGCAGCAAATGCAGATATGCTTAAGAGCGAAAAACACCACACAAGCGGCATGACAAACCAAGCGAAATATTCCTTTCCTTAAAGCTATTTATGTTGTGTATGGGGGTGTTTGAAGGTGTGACAAGCCGTTTGAGGAAAATGTGAACAAAAATCAAAATTATCTGATGTTCTGGCCGTCATGTTGACGCTTGATCAATCCGCTTACGTTGTGTATGAAAAATCACCTCATTCGCAACGGAATGAGGACGCGAGAGAGAAAAAACGGAAGAAAACCAAACCCTTTTACATTGTGAACCGGAAGAAAACTAAAATTCTTTGCTTGAACGAGTCGTGTTTGCATGGTGTATGGCGAAATGGGAAAAGTAAGTTTGAAGAATGTTTGACAAGCCACTTGTGTGGTGTATTTCGCTCTTTATAAAACTTCAGAAAGCGTTTTGTTCAAAAATTTGCTGAGCGATTTAACAACTCTCTTGTGTAAAACATGGTTGCATTTGTTATCTGCAAATATATCGAGAGAAAGTTCCTCAAAAATTCCTCAAAATAAAAATCCTCAAAAATACTCAAGCGTACCCGAAATTCCTCACGTTTTGAGGAATTACTCACAAAGTGGCAACACTGTTCTGATCATTTATGTGTACATTTGTCTATATCTATCTCGATTCGTTTAGACTGTTACAAGCAACCGTTATGTGAACGAAGTTATAATACCCTTGTGCATAGGTGCGCTCGGGTATAAAAATAAGCCAAATTGATGCAGGCGTATTTAAATCTGGTGTTTAAATAAAACATAAGCCAGAAAATATTAAAGAAACCCTTTTTTTATAACGGATAGTAATTTTTGCCGATATTCAACCAAACAAATTAAATGATAAATTGCTATTAAAATACTCTTTTTCTTCGAACTGAGAGAAATACCTCGTTTAAGTCGCTTTTGGTTGCGTTTATGTAGACAACATCCGATGATGAAAACATTTAAAAGGACTACCGTTACGCCAGAAACAACGCCTACCAGCAAAAGTAAACCGGAAGTACCCCCTAGGGGCGTTGAAGTGGTAGTCGGTGGTCCACCCAGCGATGAGGCCGGTTGAGAGGGTGGCGGAGCCTCTAAGATATTTTGAACAGTTTACGGAAATAGTTGCAGCAGCGATCCACGGGCAGCAATAAAAATAAGTAAAAAGAAGGTATTACGTTAGGAATTCCCCTAATATCCTTGTAAAGTACATATGAATTTCAGTTAGTTGGTTGTCCTTCTCTTCGTAATTTGTATTACCAAAAGCCTAGAAGTTAAACACATGTGTTCGTCCGGAAAACCTTTAACCTTGGAAGTTCGTTTAATTAATCGTCAAATAACTAGCTTTACCTACATACATTGGTACTTGTAACACTAATAAAAAGTATAAATATACATACATACTATATATTACATGATAGTTTACCTTTAGTTTGTGCTCGTTGTAAATCCGGTAAGTATTTACTGTTACCCAGATCATTGTAGGCCATCACAGAGAATAAGTAGAGTGTGTTTGTTTTTAAACCAGTTATAATCAACTTATGACTGTTTGGCAAACTATCTATATATTTATATTGCTCCCGATTTGCCTCTCTGAAATGGAAATAATAAATATGACATACACTGATTATAATATATTTTTTTTATTCAACAAGCAAAAAACAAAACCGACTTCAATTCTCATATAACAAATGAAGAGTACCGTTATTTTCTTCATGATACAGTGATCGAATTTAAACGAAATTAGTATGGGACCACCTCTGAGGTACCACCTTTCCTTTAAAATGAATTATAGAAATCGGTTGATGTGGTCCAAAGTTATGCGGTAACATACACACACATAAACAAATATATATATTCCGAAGAATTTATAATAGTCTAAGAGCTAGCAACGTTTTCGAGCGTTGGTTGCGTTGACTAGTGTGCATCGTATCTTTACAGTTAAAAATGCAAATTTTTTAAGTCATTTTAGTAAGGCTAATTTTCTTTTCATTGGCTTTAACTAACTTTTAGAAACATAGATTTATTATTGCCAGACATGTCCGTTGTTGCTAACATTGTGCCAGACGTCATTCTTTATTAAAAAAAATTATTATCATTTTAGTAAAGCGCAAAATTTAATATGATGTTGTTTAAGTACTAATGAATCCAAAAATTAATTTGCCAGACATTAATTCGGTTGCTAAAGCAAGATCTAGATCGATTTAAAGCTGAAAAGTATTACACTGGTAGTGAGGGAGATAGTAGCAAAATAGTGAATTTTCATAGGATTCTAGTATGAAAACTGGAAACTATAACAACTTGTCTAACGTTATAACATAAATCTAATTATTGGAATATCGAAAATTAATTTTTTTTCAAATACATACGCAAAGGCAAATAAAAACTTAAATATTTCAAAAAACATCAACTTCTATGGCGTCAGAATAAATCAAATACATACGTAAAGGCAAATAAAAACTTAAAACAGTTCAAAAAACATCAACTTTTATAGTCCTGGAATAAAGCAAGCGAAAAACACAAACATTTTTATATTTATAACCAGGGAACGGATTTTATGGAAATTGCCTTTTTTTTCGTGTTAAAGAGATAGAGTATATTCGATTAAGAATGTCCACGATTTAGCTTTCCCTTTAAAAAAGTGATTATAGCATTTACAATTAAGACTAAAAAATATACACATTGCCCTTGCGACTTATAGAAGCGCAGATACCTCTTGCCAAATTTGTGTTGGAAAAATTCAAAGCCGTTTTCTCAGCTAACCAAGGCTTGGAGACAATAAGGGGTGTGGATAAAATTATTAAGGGCGAGGAAAACGCCCTTATTCCTGATAATATGAACGTTTCAAACGTTCCATAGTTAAATTGGGCGCCGCTTGTATCAACTTACGTCGAGCACACATTTAGTATATTCAAGGCTTTTCTTCGCGAAAATCGAATGAAAATGCTGCCAGAGAACTTCAAAATGCATCTTGCGGTTCAATGTTACTACAACTATACAGATTAAAGTTTTATGAGTTAGAAACCCGAAAGGATAAAATAGTCAAAGATTCAAAGTACAAATTTATCATATAATGAAACTAGTTCATAGTTTTTCTCTTTTTACTTGTAATATAAACATTTCTAAAATAAATGTAGTTTTTGATTGTTCTTTGTATTTTCTGTCCTTTTAGTGCCCTATTTTGCTTTTTTTGCAATACCTAGTGCCTTTTCCTGCCTTTTTCGCTATTTTGTTTTGCCTTTTTTTACCTTTTCTGCAGCACCTAGTGCCTTTTCCTGCCTTTTTCGCTATTTTATTTTTCGTTTTCCAGCCTATTTCGTTATTTTATTTTGCGTTTTTTATAGGTTTTTAGGTCCTAAAGATCCGTTCCCTGTTTATAACATTATCATAACATTTTTATGGCGCATTTACATGGTATGAAGCCATATGAACTGTTGATACGCTAAAATAGAGGGACTACATGTTCTAATGAGGAATTCAATGATATCGAGTGGGATGCATATAATAAATTTTTTCATATGAAAAGTTATGGGGAGATACTGTAAACATACTGTTGTGATACTGTTAAGCATATGAAATTATAGCAAGTTGAATTTTCATACATCTTCCCATAAAAAGTTTAACAGATGCAGAGATACCAAGGGGGGTTTTTCCCATTTTGATGCCTTTTTAATATAAAAACCCACCGAAAAGGAGGAAAGCGGCAACTCCGCCATTCACATACATGTTAAAAGTATGAATTTAAAAATTAAAAACAATAAACAAACAAATTCAAAACAAAGAAATTCTTTGTACTAGAACTTTTTAAATTGAAGCCACTCACGTTTAGCGGACAATAAAAATACGAAGAACTATGATAACAAACTTACAAGACATTACAGAACATTTTAATGAGTTTTATATCACGTTTAAGTAAAAATAAGCCTATATTTTCCAAGCTGGCAAAGAAATGAAAATGTGTATTTTTTGTTGTTTACACAAAGATTTGCCAAATATACATATAAGTCAAAATTATAGAAGGCATGTATACTTCTCCCTTTCATTTTTTCATACAGTTTACGCTTCTTTCTGGCTTTTACAAAAATGCAGAGATACCGCACTTATTTCGGTACAATATGATCGTAATGTATTTTCAATTCGAAATCAAACAAAAACATCCCACGAAAATGTTTGCGATTTTAGAACCATTAGTGAATATTTGCAAACTACTGCAAATAATAGAGTGCCATATCTTACAAAGCTCAGAGTATTAACGAAACAAACAAGCATTTTATGGCTTCATGTTTCCTTCAAACCGCATTGCTATTTTTTCTAGCTTTTCCTTTTGTTTAGCGCTGTAACCTATTAAGTTATATCTTTTAATTTATACATGTGAACTATTTTCAATGAGCATTTTTCCATTTGCTCCAGAATTTTGGTACATTTTCTTATAGTACCTCTCATTCTTTTTTATATTACATATATAGACTCCGAAGTTCGGGATAGTATTTTGAATATACCAGCAATATATGTAAAAGTAGTGGCGGCTGCTGTAGAGCATTACGCAGAGCCTGAGTTCAAGCCCAGTTTTTCTAATAGTGGTTGCCCCTCTGTTGGTAATAGTAAACCTCCGAGTGTATTCTGTCATGGAAACAACTTCTCATTAAAATACAATTGCCGTTCGGAGTCGGCGTAAAACTGTCCTTTACTTTGTGTGACAAAATCACGCACGCCGAATATCGGAGGAGAAGCTAGGCCAAACACTAACATATTGTTCAAGCGATATACATATTCGTCGTTTAAAGTACAAAAGCGTGTATCGTGGTTCTGCAAAACCTCGGAACTGAAATTTATGCCAAAAAAGATATTTGGTCATCGGAAGCTCCGGACATCAAGCCCTTAGCCATTTATAATAAAATATCGATATTTAGACATAAGGAGAAGAGATAATTGAGTTTAAAAGGGAGAACCGTTTTTAATTAGGACAAGTCTTACTCTCCTATAAAATTTAGGCAACCTCCCATACGTGGTTTTGCATTTCCTTGATGCGCGGTTTTGTGCTTTAAACTATGATATGTAGAAGTATTGCATACATATTTTGGTGCCTTTTCAAGTATAAAATCCACTGAGAAACGGAAGAAAACGGCATCCCTATGATTTCAACTTATGCCAAACGTTTCGTAAACAAGCAATTCTGAACAAAAAACTGTTTTTCCACAAAGACGTTTAAATGGAAGCATTACAAATATGGAAAAATAGCAATCCACAAGGCTTTATTGGCAGTAGGTCCTTTTTAAAGCACATTTAACAAAAAAATAAGCTTCTAGCTTCGAAGCTAGCACAAAATAAACTTTTTTTATTTGCTGTTTACAAAAAAAATATTGTCTAGTATACAAGTCAAAATTGTTAAATATATAT